GGAAGGACGACGCGTTTTTGAGAATTGTCGTTTGAGCCATATTTGAGGAGCGCTATTGGCGTTGAGATGTTTCGGTGGCGCCCTCGTTTGGTTACCTTTCGTGACGTCATTGCCTTGTGAACAACAAGTTCGATGGTGTTTGTAATGAGCATGGTGGAAGCCTGAAATCATAGCGCTCTCAAAGCAACACTGCCAACACCGTCAAAATTGAAGTTCTTACATTCCTCTTATTTCCGTCGATGAGAAAACCTTTGCTGACGTCATAATCACCATTCGACCAATCGTAGAAGGCCGGCGACAGCGACGCTTTTGATCGCGCACGTCGCCAATAGCCGAAGCTATTTATGGTAGAGATGTTAAACTTTTTAAGAATGATCTATGTATAGCCTAGGTGAGTGTCGTCTATTATTGTTGTTCAAGACGAGTTTCGAAGAGATATCCAAACGTGTAACTACGGGAACTTATGCCCTGCACTTGGTAATGTTTTTTTCGTGTAAATTGTTTGAGGTATCGCATTTAAATGAACTCCACAGACAGTACATATCATTACCATTCGCAGAATACACAGTAATGTATTTATTGTTTTGTTTTTTTCACGTTGAGGAATAAATGAACCCATCGGGGGAAGATTTCTAAAATTGTTCAAGTTCAGCACGTCATAAAAAAAATATTTTTTTTTTGTTTCTTATTTTACTTTCCTGGGACGTGTTTCTTTTAGCCTGTAGACATTTTGGTAAGAGAAACTTTTTTTGTAGTTCTGGGCCTCTGAATATGCAAGAATACAACACTTCCGACGGGTTTTTGGTAGTTTTTCTTTTTTCTCCAGCTTTTCATTTTTGCATTTATTGTTATGTTTATTTATTTATTATTTTTTACTAATTGCAGGGTTATTTAGGTCGAAAAGACATAGCTTTGAACTTCCGAACCACCGATAATGTGACGAGTAGTGCCTTCTAACAACGTGTTTCTAACAATAACCATCTACGCGATCTTTTATGCAGTGAAGAGCGACAGTAGCTATACAGATGCATAAATAATTTCAGATTAAAATAAGCTCGACCAGGCCCTCTTTCCCAGTATTTTTTTTCTTTAACAGTCCGAAATATCTGGAAGAGGGGGGGAGGAAGAGATTAAAGTCCCCCCCCGTTTTTCATCTTCCGATGCCACTGGTATGGTAGAACGCTCCCACGGTGTAAGATAATACTCTTCAGTCTGTCTATGCTGGAACGCCAACTACATGATGTAGAAAACTGCATCGGGCACTGATTGGCTTTTCTCTCGGGTCACGTGACATGACGTTGAAATGTAGTTTTTCCCTACGCAGTTCGAGCTATGCTCGTAAAATGATGCAGTTAGCGGTGACGTCAAAATGTCGTCACGATGCACTTTGACGATGCAGTTAACTGAGTGGTCGAGGCGAGGCCAGAGATCAATCTGCATCGTAAAAGATGGCGACCCTGAAAAAAAAATTGGGTTGTGTGTGTGTTTATACAGCCTAGAACTTGGTCTGCCTCACAGGGGCGACGAGTCTCCCAGCTGTAGATGAGCAATTTAGCCAGTGCAGTACAACCGCTAGCCTGGGGTCTTTAACGTGCACCACGCAGTAGTGATACACGACCGCACGCCGGTACGATGCTCATCCAGATCGAACGGGCAGGGGTGGGGCTCGAACCCAGGATCTTTGGGTTCTGCAGCGCGAGCTTTCGCTCCACGCGCGTCGAGCTGGGTGTGCGCTTCAACCCACTCGGCCACTGATCTTTTTTTTTTTTTTTTTATTGCATGGTAGTTACAGCAACATTCATGTCATTCTAACAGCACTGCACAGCTCTATTGCACAGCGTATTAAAAATCACGTATTTCGAGGAGTGATTTTAAAATACTAGTCCACTCCGGTTCAGGTTCACAGTTCAAATACACACTCTGTACTTGTTTTACAAGGTTGAAGAAATATATCCGCACTTCTTTTGCATCGAGGTCAGCATGTCGAACAGCCATACGTGATCTCCAAATGCTGCACAAAGCTAACAACATAATCATGTCATAAGGAACTTCATTATCATTATCCACACTAAGGAAACGTATCCCTGTTGGGGTTACAGGTAATTCTTTCTTTAAAGTGCGTTGGAGGACATCCCAGAAAAATACCGCGTCCCAACAAAAAATAAACACATGTTCAATAGTCTCAGGTTTTTTACAGAGAAGGCAATTTACCGTCCATGGCACATAGATCCCTCTTTCTTTAAGCCAGACCTTAACTGGCACGGTATTCGTGTGTAATTTATAAAAGAAAGTCTTAACAGCCGCGGGAACACACATCCTTTTTACACGTCTAAGCACATCGTGGCCATGTTGGGACACACCTCGATACAAGGGCATGGGGAAAGCACTCACAACTAAATCGCGATAGAGCGCTTTTTTACTGACATCACAAAGGTAATTTAAAGAAAAACGTGCTGTCAGAAACCCCATCGTGTCAACAACTTCTTTAAAAAAACCAGTGATTCTTGTTGGCTCGCCGCCATGAGAAGAAACAAGAAAAGATGGCAAATGTGGTGATACTTTTGTTTGGATCAGTGTGCGAATGAACGGGTGCTCTTGGTCTCTCAAAAAAAAGAAGCGTGACACAAGTTGCTTGACAAAAAGGTGGGAAAGCCCCACGCCACCGTTACAAACTCGATGAAAAAGATTGTCTCGTCTCATCGGCTCATACTTCGAGTTCCAAATAAACGTGGCGAAAATTCGATGAAATTTTTGAACATTAGTTCGCGCACAATGGATGACCTGAAGAACATACCAGAGCTTCGCAATCAGAAAAACGTTACAAACAGTCGCTCGGGCAAAAATGGACAGCTCGCGTTGCTTCCAACGAGAAGCACGCCTGTCCAGGTCGATAGCGACACCCGACCAGTACGTTTGGCTATTCCGGAAACTTTGCAATGGCACCCCGAGGTACTTGCACGGCACTGTGTCCCAGCATACACCCTCGAATTCTGAGGGTGTAGTGGCCCAAGCACCATGCCAGAAACCACGGCACTTTTCCCAGTTTATAACAGCACCAGTAGCGTGGCAAAACCTTTTAGCCAAAGTTATGACTTCGGTAACGCTTTCTTTGTCCCTACAAAAAACAGCAATGTCATCGGCGTAACTCATTATTTTTACTTCTGCATTATAAAATTGGAAACCTCGGACACGTTGACTATTTTTTACGCTTAAACAGAAAAGCTCTAAATACAAATCAAACAAAAGGGGAGACATAGGGCAACCTTGTCGTACCGACTGTCGTACGTTAATAACAGAACTGAGCTCTTTGTTCACTATAAGCCTTGTTGTACAGTCCTTATAGGCCATCTTTACACCTTTTAGGATGGCGTCACCAACATTGACATGACTCAAAACATCAAAGAGTACATCATGGCTAACACGGTCGAATGCCTTATCTAGATCTATCTGTAGCACTGCAACCTGCGTGGTGCTGTCACTGCAGGCCTCCAGGACGCTACGAGCCACATGCACATTTGTCAAGATAGTCCTCCCCTGTATCCCACACGTTTGATGCTCGCTTATTATCTCACATGCGACACCTTGAAGGCGACGGGCCAGAATTTTCGCGAAGATCTTGTAATCGGTATTGCATAGCGTTATTGGGCGATAACCGGTGACGCTGCGCAGTTTCACGGGGTCATCAGATTTCGGTATCAGGACTGTGTAGGCACGAGAAAACGAAAAGGGCAAACATTCTCTTTCATAGGCAGTATGAATGACGTTCAAAAAAACACTAGCTATTAGGCTCTTAAAGTTCTTGTAAAATTCTGCGCCCAATCCATCCGGTCCCGGCGTCTTAGAGTTCGGCAGGTGGTCGATTGCGCGCTCCACTTCTTGGATCGTAATTTCTTGCTCAAGCTCTTCGCGTTCATCATTCGATAGCCTTGGCAGTTTTTCTGAAAGCTGGGCATAAATGTCTCTATGACACCCTTGCGCTTTGTTAGCAAAAAGCTGTGCGTAATGCTCGAGGAAGGCCTGTGCTATTTTCTCGGGATCCGTAGTAATCATTTGCTTGAATTCAATTTCGGTTATTTCGTTCCGAAGTGCGTAACGCTTCTCGTCTGCCAAGGCACGCTTAGTGGGCTGCTCGCCCATTGTGTATTTTTCTGCACGGGCGCGCACTACTGCACCACGATAGCGCTCGCGGTGGAGCTGATCTAATTTTTCTCTGACATACTCCACGTCTTTTACCCCATTACCGGGTCTTTCGCACTCTGCTTTACATAGCTCTATCAAGTCGTTATTTAAACTGCGTTCCTCACAACGGGCGTTGTACGAAAGAATTGACGACCTCTCAATGGCGATTGCCTTAATTTCTTGTTTTGCCAGTTCCCATTTCTCGAAAATGTCCCCTCCCGGCTCTTTAAAAGCATCTTTCAAAAACTGTTCTGCGTTTTTTAGAAAGACGTTGTCTTTCAGAAGCTTTATGTTTAGTTTCCATAGGTTCCAATTAAACTTTTTTTTTTCAGGTGCTCTGTCGCCTATCGTCGCGATAACCAGACTGTGGTCTGAGAAAAAGACTGGAGTGACACGGTACTTTCCTAAATGTTCTGCTAGAGGGGCAGAAACATACACCCTGTCCAAACGCGCACTGGACGACGCTTGAAAATGGGTAAAGCGCATTTCCTTCTTCGCGTTTTTTACAGTGCCCACATCAATCAGGTCATAATCCTCCAACATTTCGCCCAAAAGTAGTTCACTCTTATCAGCGTTCCGTCTTATTGGCGATCTATCCAACTGTCGTACAACACAATTAAAGTCACCCACAAGGACTAGAGCTCTATCGCAATCAAGATACCGACGTAAACCGCCAAAAAATAAAACGCGGTCAGTGGTCACATTTGGGGCATAAATGCAAATAAGCCTGAATTGATTTGACGTTAGCACAAAATCACACATAATGAAACGTCCTTCAGTGTCCGTAGTAACGCATAACTGCGACAACGGTACCGACTACTTCAGAAGCAGGAAGCACCCTGCCGAATGACCAACTGCATGCGTCACACAGATTTCGTAGTTAGGCATGAAAGGTCTGACTGCTTCCTCTACCTGTTCCGCCTCAGCCAATTTAGTTTCTTGCAACGCCAAGAAATCGGGTTGCTCTTTCGACAATAATCGCTGTATTTGGTACTGCTTTTTCCTAGTGCATAAACCACGAACATTCAGCGTTGCAACTGTAATGGCTGATTGGGACTCACAAATCATGCGCTGTGCTTCGGTGCAGACACTAAAAACCTAAGCAGTCAGGGTCGAAGTTGTCTTGATGCAGCAATCTTGAACACCAGGGAACCAGGCAAAGAACGCCTTACTTGCTTTCCCTGCGCCGACGTTCCTCTTTAGGATCGTTGGGCGCGGGCTGGTAACGCCCCTTCTTCGTGCGTTCCATCCAGGGGTGTAGTTGGCGTGCTCCGTTTCCTGCTGCCGCATCGTCATCGAAGGCTCGCTTAGTTGACTCGCTGGTGTCGTCCATATCTGAAGGTCCGTTGGTGCTTGCGTCGTTCGATTCCTTGTCTGCTCCGGCATGAGAGGGTTGCACGTCGGCACCGCTGGGAGGTGCGCCTTCCGGTTGACTTCCGTTCTCTCTGGCTGCCTCCAAGGAGCTGTTTCCTTCACTCTTGCGTTCTTTGGCAGGGGTTGAAACTTCTAGCGCCAAGCCCTGGATAGTACGCTCCGCTTCCTCGGCATCCATGGCGTGGTCATTGGTCTCGGCCGTCCCGGCCCCGCTGGCCACCCTGGCGTACGACCTGACACACTCGGTGCCATAATGCCCGAAGCGAAAACACTCCGAGCACTTCGGCGCCCTGCATTCTCGTCGAATATGACCTGTGCGCTTACAGCGTAAGCACAAGGGCGCCCGACCAGGGATCACAACAAGTACGTTACCACCTTGGATCCGAAGCTGGTGTGGCATGGTATCGGCCGTGCCGCCTTCGTTCAGTGTCATCCGCGCACACCTGGTCGTTGATTCGATCCCTTGGAAGCCTTCAACATTCCACTTCTCCCGGCTCACTTCCAGGACCTTGCCATACGGCTCCAATTCCTTACGCACAACGTCGTCCGGCACATCATATGGCATCCAGTGGAGACGAAGCCGTACCTCCGTGATGCTGGAATCCACGACGAGGCACCGAAGACCCTTCACCTGCAGTTCTTTGGCGTCCACGAGTCGTCTCTTTGCTTCTGCCGTTCGGAGGGTAGCCATCCAAACATGATTCATTTGGTACGCACCGAGTGCTGCGATGTCGCCGAGTACGCCGCACCTGGCCATCTCTTGTCGAAAATCCTGGATACGGTAGGGGCGCCCTTTCAAATCGCAATGCAGAAGCACCGATGTTTCACTAGTAATTCCTGTAGGCATCTGTGGTAAAACAATCTTATAGTCATCGTTCGTCGATTCACCGGAGTGATTAGAACCGCGGCCAGCAAGGGCCGTTGCAGACGCTTCCACGGAGCTCATGTTTCGAACGTCTTGCACGTTCGGCACGCGCGCTCGCACTCCTCGGCCACCGATCCCCCTGTGGCGACCCTGACATATGCATCTCTACTGTTGGTTTCGCCAGCGGATCGAGTTTTTAGAGATCACCGGGATGCTTTCGAGACGAGCGATGCGAGGTTTGTGGGCGAATACCAACTGACCAAAGGGGTGACTCGCTGGTTGTGTGACAACTTCGCGGAAAGCTCCAGCGTTGTCTTGAAGGGCTCCGTGTGCTGACGGTCGAACAACAAGTCTTCGCGGTTCTACGCTTTTACGCCGCCGGCGGCTTCCAGGGAGCCGTCGGGAGCGACGAAAACATTGGTGTTCTCCAGTACTCTGTGAGTCACGTACTTGGTGATGTCACCAACGCTATCATCGATTGCCTCGGATCGAAGTGGCTGTGTTTCCAACAAACTCAAGCAGAGAAGGCGCTCACAAAAAGGAAGTTCTTCGAGCGATGCAAGTTCAGCGGCGGGATCGATAAATATTCTAAATACTCTTACACGAATTAACACGATTGTGTTTTCATTTGAGTGCACGCCATATAAGCGATTTGGCTGAGCGAAAAGCCAAGCAAGCAACGGTAACAGGCTTAAGTTGAGCTAGTTCGTTCATACTTTAGGTAGAGAGAGAGAGCGAGATATGCTTTATTTAAAAGCAACTACTTCAGGTCAGGCCAGCTGAACTAGAATAAACGTGCACATAAAGAAAAGACCATACACACCGTGGGATTAACAACTGATTTTCTTCTTCCCCCTCTTCTACTACGAGCCCAACTTCAGGGAAATATTTTCTTTTCTTCTTTTTTGCTTCCTACTTCACCGAAAACTTAACCCCCGAAGGAACATTTTGTTCTTTCTCGTGCAGAACGAGAGAAGTTGCACTAACGCAGTCAAACATAGTCAAAAAGTAAAATTTGTCGTTTGTTGTGTATACAGCAGGAGGTTAGTCTGCCTGAACATGGCGACATTGTTACCACCTGTAGATAAGCAATTTAGCCAGTGCAAAACGACTTTAACGTGCATCACGCAGTACACGACCGCACGCCGGTACGATGCTCATCCAGCAGATCGAAACGGGCAGGAGCGGGGATTGAACCCACGATCCCTGGGTTCTGCAGCGCGAGCTTTCGCTTTACGTGCTCCGAGCTGGAGTGCGCTAGCCTACTCGGCGATTCTTTGAAATTCCCTGTAGGGAAAAAAAGAACGATGTAGTTCCAACTCAATCGCCACTGTTCGACGACGTCACCGGACACGTCACGGTGCAGTTCTCTTCCGATGTAGTTTCTTGGTGATGGAGATTAGGCTCTTCCCACCGGCGACGTCACGATGCAGTTTCTCCACCGCTTTTTGCAGCATAGACAGACAGGTGAGGACAGCGCGCTTCTCGCGCAGTGCAGATGAAGTTCGGCGCTGGCAGAGGACTCGTCGACCCGTGAGCACGGCAAAGACGGCTCGTGCCGCCTCATGATCCACACGTGCAGAGCTCCAGCGAGGTTGTCCCTCGTGCAGAAAGACCACTCTTTTCGCTGTCACGCAGTTTCGCCGTTTGGCCGCCGGCGACACTGCCAGCCGCGGGCACGGTGGCCGCGGAATAATGCAGCCTTTTGGATGCGCGTCGAACGAACACTATCTGATTCCTCGCGCCGCGCGTTCAGCCAATACCACCTAGAACACAAGGCCTGCATATTTCCTCCTCTAAACGTCATCACTAGTAGATCCCCTCAGCGCCCCCTAGCTAGCCCGGATGAGCAACATCGTCTGCTACATCGTCTGCTCCATCGCCTGCTTCAGTGGTTTGTGTAACAGATAATGAAACAGATGCTCACGCCGAGTGTCTCTTGCAAATAGCATACGATGAAGTTAGACGTTCACGTGGAGCGTCAAATGCATGAGCGAAATTGCCTTACTGCTGCGCGAAGGCTGAAAAGCCCTTCGTTGGACGCTGGACGCTGGCACTGGACGCCATTTTCGAGGGCGCTGTTTATACCTCGGGTAGCTGCTTCGAAGCGTTCTACCGCAGAACGAGCGCGCGCGCTAGAAATGCGCGTCTCAAAGCCAGGAGCGCGTGCTAGCTCGCGCTCCTGGTCGAGGGAGCGTTCGCGTACACGTCGCAAATGCACTGGAAGCTCGCTATCAGCTCGCGCTCAGCAGTCACGCACACAGCTGCGGCCGCAAGTGAATGCGACGTAGTTGCGGCGCGGCCCCTACTCTCGTCAAGCTTCGGGCTGTTTGCCGCTTGGGGCGGGTCGGGGATCTACTAACGAAACGTCATGCGCAGGCCTTGTCTTCTAGCTGGTATTGGTTCAGCCCCGCCGTGTCCTCACCTAAAGAGTGTATCTTGCACCGTGAACGCTCCTCAACCCCATCAAGTTGCGTCGGCTTTTGTCCTTTTTGCTCGGCGTTTCTTCTGTCCTGGAAAATAAACCTGCAAAGCAATTAGAAACTTAAAATTTGTCAAGGTGCAGGCGAGCTAGTGTATGTTGATCATGATGCAAAATCCTGAGACTGGGAATGAAATTCGAAAAAAATAGTGTAAGAAAAAAAAAAAAAAAAAAAAAAGAGACAGGACAACGTCTCAAACTCAGCTGAGTTGAGTTTGAGACGTTGTCCTGAGTTGACTTTTCAGCTGAATTGAGTTTGAGACGTTGTCCTGAGCTGAGTTTGAGACGTTGTCCTGTCCCCTTTTTCTGTTTTCTTACACTTTTTTTTTTTTCAAATTTCATTCCCAGAGCTGAGTTTGAGGCCTTGTACGGTCCCTTATTTTTCTGTCTTCTTACACTTTTTTTTCAAATTTTATTCCCAGTCTCAGAAGTTTGCATCATGTACAAACTAAACTTGCTATATACCAGCGTCACTCAAGCGGCGTTCGATCGGATTACTACCAGCGTTCAAGGGGGTAAGGAGGCAGTTGGCCAGATCGCTTTAAGGATTTTAAGGGGCCTCAACCACTTGCCTGCCCCTGGCCGTTTCGAACTGGATGAGTATCGTTAAACAGCGCGTTCGTGTGGTCACTACTTCGTGATGCACGTTAATGACCCCCCCCCCCCCCCCCCCCCCCCCCCCCGGGCTGGCGGTCACAATTACTGATCTATGGTCACACGTCACTCTGCACTGCTAAATATTCCCAGCACATCCGGGACACTCTTCGTCTCATTTCATTGCCCTGACCAAGTTCGCGCAGTCTAAATATCACACCCGTAAACCTGATTTCGTGAAAACGAATGGGGCGTGAAAACGTTATTTGAAACTGAAACTGGGTGGCGGAACATGAAAACCGGACTTCGGACTTCGCGCACTTGAACTTAAAAAAAATTCAAAACCTTCGAAGTTCTTTTTTTTTTTCTTTTAATTTAGCTTTAATAGAGATTCGAAACCTTTGAACTTTATGTAGAAAGAAATTCGAAATCTTCGATTTTATCGAACTTTATGTCTAGAAGAATTCGAAACGTTCGATTTTTCGAATTTCAGATCCAAATAAATTCTAAACATTGGAATTTCTTGAGTTTTAAGTTAAGAAAGTTCGAAATCTTAAAATTTCTCGAACCTCAAGTAAAAACATATTCGAAACAATCGAACCCGAAGTTTCAGAAACCGTGAAAGCTTCAAATTTTTCGAATTCGAAACTCCACGGATATTGAAAGTTGCGAATGTTTCGAATTCGAACCTCCGTACGGTCGAAAATCTCTCAAATGTTATGCATTCGAACCTCCGTTCGATTCGAAAATATCGAAACCTTTCGAATTTGAACCTACTGTGGTTCGCGGCATCCCTAGTTCGGATGGCAGTCGGCTTATCGAGTTCTGTCCCTTGTTGAGTGACGTGGATGGTTAGGTGCTTGTCATATAATAGATGTATGTTCCTACTATTTCTTCTTATTCTTCTTTCCTAGTATTTCAATAACAACTCGCCCGATGTGTGTCGGAAATGAAGTAAAGGCCAAACAAGGACAGTTTATTGTCTCGCTCGCGAAGCCCATGGATAGGGCTGGTAATCGTAACTCCACGGTGGCCAATAATCTTCGTTGGGTAATATAAACCACGGGTCCTGCAATGGACACTGTAAGTACGAGACGCAGACATTTGTGTCGTGTCTGTAGAGACCAAAGACACAGAAACAACCGGTGTCGCAGCCGGTGTGGCATTTCTCCTTTCCGAAGGGGTTTAGGCACGATTTCTCTCTGCAAAAACTGCCACAGAGCTTGAATTCTTCTCCCGGAGGACATGGTCGATATGGAGGCAACGGGTATCGCGGGTCCAGGACTCCTGCCAGGAAAGAGAAAGACGCGTCGTGAATATTTTGAGACTTCGAGCAATGCCACCTGTGCTCTGTATCACCTGAAGAAAAAAGGACGTTTTGCTCGTTTTTCATACGCGGCGCTAAGCACTTCTTACATAAGTTGAGAGTCAAGGACGAAGCGATGCATTTGGCGTTTGGGACGTGTACGTATTGATAAGATAAAGAAAACATATACTGTAAACGACTTAATTTTCGCGGGCTCAAATTTTCGCGAGTCGGGCCAAAGCTGAAAATTTGAAATTATTCGCGGGATCTAATTTTCGCGAATCGAGCGTAGCTTCCGTA